TATCGTATGTGCTCCTCTCCTTGGATCTTCAATGGTCCTAAAACTGCTGATGTTACGACATGTGGTCTTCTGTTCCGCTCGAGAATGCCATGGTATACAATGCTGTGCTACGTGCGTGTCGTCTATATCTTGTTGAGATATAAGATGCTACGTCATGTTTCCTTCTGCTATCAAAGATTTCGCCCCATCCGAACAGGTTATGATCCGCCCTGTAATGATTACTCTGCTTTGCATTGGTAACAGCGTGACGTCGTGCCGCCTGGACGGCGTGAGGCCGTGACGCCGTGCATGTTATCGAAGACGAGGGGCGGGCCGCTCAGGGACCACATGTGGCCCTTGGGATACAGCGGCCGCGGTATGCAGGGTGGCGGGTGCGGACTGGGAACACTGTCCCTAACATGTAACAAACGGTCGCCGCTAGTTCCTACAATCTTCTGAAGTGTCCTGTTCGATCCGTTAAACAAACTGATTCCCCAAACAGTGCTTGCAGTTAGGGGCTCTGAATTGTTGTCTGAGGCACTGGGCTGGTGTGCCGACCTTGGCGGCTATGTGGCCGCCGTCGCCGCCCCGTCGCCGCCTCGTCGTCGCCCGTCGTCTGGGCAGGTGCGGCGTTTCTGGCGGCTATGTGACCGCCGTCGCCGCCCCGTCGCCGCCTCGTCGTCGCCCCTCGTCTAAGCTGGAGTGGCGATCTGGCGGCTGTGCAGTCGCCGTCGCCGCCAAATCGCCGCCTCGTTGCCGCCTGGTGTTTTGTTATGTTATGCTGCATCACATCATGTGCTGTTGTCCATACTCACATACACGTACAATCCGTTCTGCATCACCTTCTGCTCCATACATACACATACATGCATTGTGGTAGAATGTACGTTACCGTGTTCGGTGCTGTTATTCATGTCGTCCCGCAGTATGCACTAGTATGGTATGTTCTGCTCTCTCATACTCGATCGTACCACCTTGTAGTACATTATCTCATACAGCGACAACAATTGCATCGGTGTTACTTGTACTGGTCGAAGTAGTAACGGTAGTATTTGTGGTGATAATCGGACTGCTGAAGGCAATGACGCTCGGGATGCTGGGTGAACTTGGGGACCTGGCGGCCGCGATGAGGTGCGGGCGGGTATTAAAGTCCCAACCTGTGGGGTGGGGAACGAAGAACTACGCGCGCCACCGACCACGGTGGTGCCGATCGACCCCCCACGCCTCGCCCAAAGAACCGTGCAACTGAACGACGCACCTATATCTCCCACGCAAACTGGACACCCAATGCCGTGAAGGACAACATGAGTGCTGCGGGAGACCGTGTTTTGCCCCCAGGACCGACCTTTCATCTGAGTATGCTTTGACCCACTCAGCGGTTGCACCAGAGGTGGCAATGCGGAAGTCGTACGGAAGTGCCAACAGGTCCCGACCGACGTTTGTAGGCGGCAGCGTTTCAAGGCTCCCGGGTTCCTGGCAACGCAAGGATGTGGCAGCAATGTCAAACCGTTTTGGGTAGGCGATCGGGTTCCCGGGCTTTGGCTTCCAAAATCTGTGGCGTGGGCTCCGGGCGCCCTCAAACCGAGAGTAGCGAATCTTATACGGAACGGAGCTCAGAGTGCTGGGTGCTAGGTGCGGCGAAAGATGCATCGCGTGGAAAAACATGGGGGGCGAAGAAACATGATGGTAGATAGTTGGGACTGGAGGACAGTAGACAGTGGATACCAAATGTATAAAGGAAAAATGCAAAGCAGCTGGTGGAGACATACGTGTGGACTCGAAGCGGAGAGTTGAATTACAGATGACAGAAGAGAGTGTAAGGAACAGAAACCACAAAGTAGAGCGGAAAAACGTGATGACTACACTCGCCACCATTTGCTCGGACCCACCCCCAGCGGCCACAAGTGCGCGACCCTTTGCCTTCGTTTGCCCTACACGTTCGTGTAAACAGCTGAATGGGGCTTTCCCTGCCCTGGTGCAACGGAGGGCCCCAGGACCAGGAAGGGCCCCTAGGGCGCCGACAAACAGCGAAGAAACCTCAGTACAGCTCTCCCCTTGTGTCACCTCCCTTTGAAAGTGAAGCTAGAAAACATTTGTCAACATAAACTTTCTGGCGTGGTCCGTTTCGATTTTCCGATTGGCGCTGGGCTTCTCTCGCTGGCACGCGGAACGCGCCTGGGGCGGCGACGGAGGCGCCGCCGAGGGGGTCCCTGCGGGCGCATCACCTTTTCCGCGGTGAAACGTCGGCCCGCGCCAACGCCCGCGCCGACGCGGGCCGGAGGGGGTGGGGGAAGGAGGGGGGGGGAAGGCGGGAACGAGGGAGAACTGGGAGGTCAAGGACAGGAGGAGGAGGGAATGGGAGAGAAGAGGAAGAGGCGGAACGAGGAGAACGCTCTCGACGTTCTTGGCAATATTGACACAGAGGCTGTCTTAAGGGGGAAAGAGGAGGAGGAAGAGGAGGAGGACGAGGAAGTATGATTGCGGGTGGCATGGGTGGAAGGTAAGAGACATGGCAGCACATGTAACATGGGAGATAGAAGAGCGGCGGTCCTTTCAATTTCAATGACTGTACGCGTGCACGCTGTAAGCCACATGGCAGCGGGCGCGCGCGCTGTTATTCGAGTCGACGCTACCTGGCAATGGAGTTTCCCGCCGCAGCGCTTCGGCCTCAAGAGACCACCCGCAATGAGGTGCCAAAACATTCACAGCGCGGCCGTCGCAGTGGGCGCCCGGCACACCTCACCCATGGCTTAGGAACCTCAGCCCGAACGGAATACAGTGAGCCCTGGGAGCCCTGTCGGCTCGCTTGTGGTCAGCCCGTGCGCGAGCTGAGCTGAGCTGACCCTGGCCAGGATTGAAGGTCGCAGCGACACCCCAACGCCCGGAGATCCTAGGGACAAGCTCCTTACCCAGTGCGACCAGCTGATGTTGCCCAACAGCCTGGAGCGTTTGCTCGTGGGCGCCCGGCACTGACCGTGCCTGGCGTGCGCTCACGCCGCGGCTCTGGGCGCAACTACCTGCTGCCAGGTGCGCCCCCTGACCCTGCATCTGGCACACTGCTGGCGTAGCCGCTCGCCGTCGGCACACTTTGGTGACTAGTGCCTGCGGGCCTAGCTGGCCGCTGCGTCGTTTGCGAGGCTGCGCTCGTGTGCGCGCTAATGCTGCTCGTCCAGCTGTTTGCGGCAGGTTGCCTCTAGTTACTAGCGCTTACCAATAGCAGCTGTTGGCTGGTCCGCGCGTTGGTTTGGTGACTGTCGAGCGGCACCGGCGCGACCCGTGTTGTTTGGATGTGGCCGACAACTGCGCAGTGTCGCAGGTGCCTAGCTTCGGCGGTTCGTAGCTGCCCCGTTGTCTGCCGCGTAATGTGGCCAACGCCCAGGCCACCGCGATGCATGCCGGCGAATCTTTAAGGGAACGTGCACGGTGATGCAGCACGGACATCTGTGGTGGCGTGCTGTCGTGTCGGCACCTCGTAGCGCAGGCGGTGCTGAGGTGCCCAAGCTAGGCACGCGCTCATAACGCCTGCCGAATTGCACGCCAGAGCTTCACGATGACGAGATTCATGTTGTTATCCGCGTGACGCCAATCTCCTGCGATACAAGAAAGCCCCTGCAGCTGACGGTGAGGCTGGCCAGCCACTGATGGCACGGAACGGCTTCTCGATGGTGCTCGTGTCGAACGAGATCTTAAATGAGCCCATCGGGCCACCCTCGCGGTGCTCGTCGCAGCGCAGACGCCACGTCCCTTGCAGCTGGCACATCAGACGCAGACGTGCTCAAGCCCATCGGCACGTGGCTGTGGCTGTCAAGACGCGCGTGCACTCATGCTGCAAAGCGCGTTCAGGAGGACAGGGGAGATGTCGCGTCATGTGGAGGCGAGAGCACTTCCCGTCGGTCCGTTGCTGGCGTGGCGGGGTTCGCGCTGCCGGCAGCCGCGCGAGGGAAGCTGGTTCGGCCAGCTGTCCCTGGCCAAGAGATGGGGTCGCGCACAGCCATGACGGCCGCGTTGTTCTGTGTGACGCTGTCAGGTTCATGACGATGATCCTGGTGGGCAAAATGTTCAGCGACTCTGGGCGTGACCTTGCCGGCAGTGCCCTTGGACAGGCACTGCTGCGCGCGTCGACGCGCTCGCGGGCAACTGTCCGTGCGAGGATGCTGTCGTGATGTAGCACAGACAATGCGCAGGCGCAAGTTGGTCAGCGCAACGCCGCTTCCCAGTCACCGCTCTCGATCGGCGGCTACAACGCCAGACCGCTGTCGGCGAGTAAGTGCCCGCTCCAGGAGCTGACGCAGGAGCGACGAGAGAGGAGTAAGTGTAGGATGACTTCCAAGACCCGGATAGCGTGGGACGATAAGGGCGGACACTAGGAGGAGGAGGACGAGGAGGAGGAGGAGGAGGAGGAGGAGAAGGAGGAGGAGGAGGAGGGGGGGGAGGAGGAGGAGGAGGAGGAGGAGAGGAGGAGGAGGAGGAGGAGGAGGGAGGAGGAGGAGGAGAAGGAGGAGGAGGAGGAGGAGGAGGAGGAGAGGAGGAGGAGGAGGAGGAGGAGTGAGGAGGAGGAGGAGGAGGAGGAGGAGTGAGGAGGAGGAGGAGGAGAAGAAGGAGAGGAGGAGAGGAGGGGAGGAGGAGGAGGAGGAGGAGGAGGAGAGAATGAGGAGAAGGAAGCAGCAGGAGGAAGGAAGGAGTCGAGGGGGGGGAGATAATATCGAGGAGAGGGAGGAGGAAAAGGAGGAGGAGGGAGAGGGGGAGGAGGAGGAAAGAGGAGTAGGAGGAAGGCGGAAAAGGGGGAGGAGGAGGAAGGAGGGGGAGGGGGGGCACGGGCGAAAAGGAAGGCGGAGGGGGAGGAGGAAGGAGGAGCAAGGGAGGATGAGGAGGATGAGGAGCAGGAGGAGGATGAGGAGGAGGAGGAGCAGGGCGGGGTAAGGGGCAGGCCCCCAAGGAGGGAGGGACAGGGCCAGCGCCCGCGCGCGGCGCCGGCTCGCTGCGGCCCCTCCCCTCTCGGCGGCCCGGGCCGCGGCCCGCTACTAGGAGCTGCCCTTCCACCACCAGTTGAAGCCCGCGGCTCCGGCGGCCTCGCGCCCGCGGGCGCGGTCGGGGCGGTCGTCGCCTCGGCCGTCGTAGCTGCCGCCGCCGTCGCCGTCGTCGCCGCCGCCCTCGGTGCCGCGCCGCCGCCGTCGGCGTCGCGGTGGTCCACGAGGCTCGTCGTCGCGGCATCGTCGGCGCCATCGGCAGCGTCGGCGCAGCCGCCGGGGGAACGGGGGGAGAGGCCCTCTTTGGATCGTGCTTTCTCGAGGCCTCTAGGAGGAGCAGGAGGAGGAGAAGGAGGCGGAGGCGAACGCCGTCGGAACGGGTGATCAAGGAGATGGCGACAGAGATGGAGCTGTCGACCCTTGGGGGGCGACTCGCGCTTCTGGAGATCCCAGGGGAGGAGAAGGGGGAGAAGGAAGATCAGGAGGAGGAGGTGGAGGAGGAAGGCAAGAGTGAGCTGTGTTGGCACAACTTTCTTTGACCTGCCTCTGGCGCTACAATCAACCCGTATACTACGGATGCGCGGTAAGGATGTAAGGGCCTGGGGGGGGGCAATGTTAATGTTCTTCGAACGAGGTTGGCCAGCGAAAGTCGCTGAGGATGGGCCGAAGGGGCAAGGCTGCAACGCTCATCCTTACTATGCGGGTTGACTGTAGCCGCTGCTGCTGCGGCGCCGCCGTCACTACCTGCCCATCCTTGTCATTATCGTCTAAGTCCTAGCGGGGGGGCATCGACAACCTGCCCTGAGTGGAGAACGCGAAGAGGAAGAGGAGAAGGAGGATGAGGAGAAGGAGGAGGAGGAGGGTGAGGAGGAGAAGAAGGACAAGTGGAGAAGAAGGACATGTGCAAACTCATGCCGCCTAAACCATATGGCAATAAACACTCCCTTCACACGACATTGCGGCAAGTGGCCCTTTAGACAACAATCGTCTGATGATCCCCAACCGCTCCAAAACACGATTCCTGGAACCAGGGCTGAACCTAAACGGTGTTTTTCGTTTTCGGTTTGTTTTCGTTTTCCTTCGTTTTGTCTTCAATCCGCCTTTACCGCAAAACGAAGTCGAAACGACAACGGCCCAGGAAATCGCCAAAGCACCGTTTAGGTCCAGCCCTGCCTGGAACTTCAACGCCGCGGACAAACGCGACTGTTGCGTCCTGACGATCATGGATCGTGCCAGAGCGCCAGTCCTGGGTCCTCAACACCGCGAGCCGGCGTTGCTGCTGCGCCCTGGCGATTCTAGACCGTGCCAAGGCACCTCTCTTCCTGGGACTTCAACCATCCGAGCCCACACAACGGTCATCAACTGTGGAAGCGATCGTGCGCGGCGCTGAGGCAATCGCCACGTCTCGAAAGGCGCCGCCCTCCGTCCCCGAAGCAGCTGCACACCTCTCAAGACGGGTGCGTACGGCGCCAGAGCCAGAACCGCGTGCTGAACAGACTCGCCCTTCATCCTTTGAGCAGGCACCGACCGCCCCGGCATTCCCATAGTCCTACCACACATTTTTCTTAGAACCCCCAAATGCTCGAACCACAAGCATGTTCTCAGAACTTAAACCCGATGTGTTAAAATACGACAGTCCTGGTCAACAAAAGTTCTGCAAACAAATCGCGCAACCCACATAAGGTTCTTAGAACAGTCTTTGGTGGGCCTTTAGGACGCTTCGCCACTGCTTGAATCCTTGAAACTGGTCCAAACTTTTAAAACGCATGTGCGCGACGCTACTGCGCGAACCACATTGTCGGAAGGACTCGCCCTCCATGCATCAGGCAGTTGCAAGCTTGTGAACGAACATGCGCGGCGCTATTGCGACAACCACATTTTGAGAATGACCCACCCTCCATCCGTGAAACAACTGCAAATTGCAAATTTCAGGATCATGAATGGCGGGGGGATCTCAAGCGAAACGCCCGGCCCGCCCTACGAACGCGACTGGGGGTGCGACAGGCAGGAGTGAATTATAAAGAAAAGAGGTGGGGGAGGAGGAGGAGGAGGAGGAGGAGGAGGAGGAGGAGGAGGAGGAGGAGGAGGAGGAGGAGGAGCAGGAGGAGGAGGAGCAGGAGCAGGAGGAGGAGGAGGAGGAGGAGGAGCGCGAGGAGAAGGAATCGCAAAAGGAGGGAGGAGGCATAATGAGGATGAGCAGGAGCGCGGCGCCTCCGCCGCCGCTCCAGAGGACCGAGAGGAGCACGGTGCGGTCGGATGGGCCGACGGAAGGCGCCGAGAAAGACGGCGCGTGGCATCGGCACGACGAGGGGCAATCGCCGAGGAACTCGCGACCCACGCGGCTCCTCCTGCCTCGACCGAGCGGCCGAGCGCCATCCGGGAGGAGGAGGGGGCACACTCGACCAGGATGGGAAGGATGCGCGGCAAGGATGCAAGGGCCTTGGAACGCCATGTTGACGTTCTCGGTGCGGAGCGCCGCAGAATGCCGAAGGATGCCGAACACCGAAGAGGCAGGGATGCAAGGGTGGCCTTGGAAAGTTGCCCCGTCCTTACTATCATGGTTGACTGTAGTGGACGAGGACGAGCTGCAAGGACGAGGGACGAGGGGGCAGATCACGAGGGGGGAGGAGGACAGGACTCAGACGAGGCCAGGAGCAGGCCAAAATCGGACCCGGGTGATTCGGGGATCTCTGGGATCTGGCGGCTCTGAAGACCGTGGCGGGCGCCGCGGCCGTTCCAGAGCGCCCCGAAACGCTCTGAGAGTGTCCCGGAGCGCTCTGGAAAGCTCTCTATCCCGCCTGTGGCCCCGCCCGGAGGAGTCCAGCCAGGGAGCGGCAGGGCAGGGCAGGTCCCCTGCGGAAGAGGCAGGAACGGGCGAGGGGTGGGGGCAGAGGGGGCGGGGGAGGGGAAGGGAAGCCCGAGGGGTCCAGGGAGGGGGGGGGCGGGTTAGAGCCAGGGTCTCCCTCCGAGGTGCGCTCGCCTTCTTCTCTTCGGCGTCGGCGGAGTTGGAGCCTTCCCCGTGGGGTGCAGCAGCGAGAGCCGCGTGGGTGAGAGAAGGAAGCGGGGATGATGAGGGGAAGGATGGGAAGGAGGAGGAGGGGGGGAGGAGCAGTAGCAGCGTGAAATTGCAAACCGATGCGGTGGGGCTGCGGCCTGGAGAGGAAGGGTGGAGGGTGCAGCTGCAGCGCAGTCCAACACTCGGCAAGAACTCACCCAATGCATCTTCCATGTGGCACGTGGCCTCAACTGGAAACCTTCATGGCTGATATGCCTGCTCTCTTGCCGAAGATCTGGGCCCGCCAATGCTTCGCAAGAGATGCCGACCCTGACCGCTCACCGCAAACCAGCAGATTCGAGAGCTGGGCTGAGCAGCAGGCGCGGCCGGGAGAAGGGTCGAAGGGCGAGGAACTGCGGAGCTTGGGGATGAGAGGAAGGAGGATGAGAGGGGGGTCGGGAAAAACGAGGCAGAACTGGCCCAGAGTGAGGGAGGGGAGGCAGCAGCACGAGGCCGGAGGTGGCCCTCGTCCTCGCCCCACCGAGCCGAGGCCTTCCCCGCTGCCTGTGCGCGCCGGTCGCGACGCGGGCTTGCTGGCATCAAGACACGGCTACCACGCATGCCGTCGGGCGGGCGGTAGGAGGAGGAGGAGGAGGAGGAGGAGGAGAAGGAGGAGGAGGAGGAGGAGGAGGAAAAGGAGGAGGGGGAGGACGTGGCCCAAAAGGGGGGTGAAGAAAAGAGCCGCAAAAAGGCCCGTTAGGGCCGCTTCAGGGCACCGGCTGGCTCCCAAAGGGGTCCCAACGGGCCCCTTCGGGGCCCTTTTCTTCGCCCCCCATGTGGGCCACCCCCCATTACCACCCGCCCGTTGTTGGCCGATGGGGGATCCAAACCTCCAATCTCTGAATTCTTGCTTCAGTGCACGGGCCATTGGGCTCTTGACGCCATCTTGGGAGCCCGTGTTTCGTCCCAGACGCGGAGCCGGGCCCGGAGAGGGCCAGCGGCGACCCAGAGCCACGGTGCGCGACGCGCAATCCTCGTCGCACCTCCGCGCCGCCCCCCTTGGGACATGGCGGCCGCTCGGGCCCAGACTGCGACCGCGCACAGCGCGAGCATCGTCGCGACCTCGCAGTGGGCGACCTAACGTGTGGAGGGGGGGCGGGCGAGTCGAGCGTGGGGGACCAATGGAGGGGCGGGAGAGCGGGGGGAGGGCAAGAGGAGGAGGAGGAGGAGGACTCAGGGTACCCTGAAAACAGGAAGAGGGCAGGGGGACTCGAGCACGAACGAGAAGAGGGCAAATGAGTTCGTCTCTGCGGGTGCGTGCTCGGGCCTAGCTCCTCAACCTGTATAGCAGTGCGAGTGCTGCACGGCGAGAGGCGACTAGATCTGTTTGCGAGACAAATGCGGCGCGGGCATTGGCGCGGGCGCCGGGAGGAGGAGGAGGAGGAGGAGGAAGAGGAGGAGGAGGAGGAGGAGCAGGAGGAGGAGGAGCAGGAGGAGGACTAGTATGAAATATGCGCTTACATACTGAGATGAGCGTCTTTTGGCGGCGCGCCAAAGGGGGTAGGGGGAGGGGGGAAGGCTTCTTAGAAGCACCCTGCTTCTTAGAAGGCCTCGGCCTTACGTCTATAGAGAAGGCCCGCGCCTTCTAAGAAGCAGGGGTGCTTCTAAGAAGCCTTCAGCCCTCCCCCTACCCCCCTCTGCGCGCCGCCAAGTCTTGGCCCCGGTTCCGACAGGCCCGGCGGGCACAACGAATGCACCGCGCCCAAGCGGGAAGGCAATTTCCAGGAACAGCATGCGCGGAGATCGGGGGGAGGCCTTTTCAGACCCAGCGCCCCTTTCTCAATGTCGGCATCTTTGGGGGCTGTTCTCGGGCCCGGAGACAATCAGAAAACTGCCCAGGATTATCACTGAAACCCCGGGACTGGGTCGAGATCTCTGGGGCCCCCGGACTTCCCCCTAAAGGGACCGTACATGCCTGAAGGGGTACTGCTTGCCTTCTCACGTACTGGGTCCATATGGAAGATGTGCTGGTGCCTGCTTGCAACAACCTGGCCCAATG